GATCCACTCTGAGAAGGTGCTATTTAAGAGACTGAGCTGAATACAGCTCCTCAGACTGAGGAAGTCCTCAGGATGAGAGACGAAACGTTTCTAGATTTTTTTTGTTGTTTTGAATGTCCAGAGGACCAGATTGAACTTTTTGGATTTTTCTACCTGGATTATTGAGCATGCATCAGGATATTAGTGTGACCAGTTTTTCTTTTTGTGGCGACTTTTTTTGGGCCAGACAGAGTATTACACTTATTATCTAACAACACCCTCACTCAGCACAGAGGACTGTTTGGGTCAGTGACAGTACAAACACTGATCATTTCTTATCTGGCAACCCTGTCTGGCATAGAAACTGCTCTTTTTTTTATTCCTCCCAATAAAGAGAAAAAACACCAAAGTTTCCAGAGGTCGTTGTCAGGTACACAAGGCCTAACAAACACTTACAAATAAAGAAGAGCTTATGAACCTAATGTGTATGTTTTCAAAGTGTGAGGCCCAAACACAGTACCCAGAGTAACCTCACACGTGCACAGAGTTTGAAACTGGAGAAGTTCTTGCAGAAAGGCAGAGTAAAAACCAACAAAAAGGTCACTTTGATCTTTTTCATATGGGTGTGATGAAGAGGCTAAAGAGAAAGACGTGGGCTGCTCGGACCACTGAAATGACACAAGACGTGATCAGTGAGACTTTGAAGGACTCACTGCGGTGTTCCTGCTCTGCAGCAGAGGTTTGGTGTTCCTCAGCAGCAGTCTGTGGTCTGGATCCATGATGTACGGCTTTGCTTGGGTCTGCTCCGTCCTCTCCTCAGAGTCAGAGTCGTAGAAGGCCTTCTCGTTGTTCTCGTCCAGCGCAGCGTCCTCCTGGCACAGAAAACTAACATTTAGAGAGAATACTGTTCGTATTTACATCTTGGTGTTCAACAAGTATGGAGCTGCAATTCATAAAACAGAAAAAGCTGTTGTATTGATTATTGCTGATGTTTGAGGCCAGCCAGAAAAGATCTGTGAGAAAGCAGCTTCTTTAAGTGGAAACGTTTTTACCAGAAAGAAGAGAAATTATTATTTATAGAAAAAATGGTTTTAAAAGCAGGAGAAACATCAAAGTTCACGCTCAATAATCCAGGTAAATTATCCAACAACCTTCAGGTCCTCTGGACGCTTTCTCTGTGTTGAGACATTCCATCCTTCATCCAAAGGACTTCATCAGTCCGAGGAGCCACAAACAAACTCCGTCTCACAAGCAGCACACTCCCATAGTGGACCAACCAGTTAGATGGTGATGTTTCTGGGTTCCGCCCTCTCCCCCGTCGATTCCTCTGAGGCAGCCATGGCCAAACAACGTTTCAACACAAACAAACCGTCCAGAGGACCTGACTGAACGTTGTTGGATTAGCTAGAGAAAACTAACCAACAAGGAGCTCGTGAACCGAACGGGACACAGTTCGTGTTTCTTACTCCCCCGTAGCAAAGAGGGGGTTTCTGTCCGTCCGTCTGTCATGCATGTGGTGAGCACTACTTGAAAAATAAGGAGGCAGCGACTTCCTTTGGTGCGTGACTAAAGGTCCCGTTGCCACATCAAAATCCAAGATGGCTGCCACTTCATTTGTAAACCTTGTGAGCTGGATGACTTGGACAACTGGTGATGATGTAACAAAGTCATAATCCAACATGGCCACGATAAACGCACGCACGCACTGGCTACTCCAATCATTTAAGGAAACTAGTTTTATATTGCTTAAAATATAGTTTCTTAAAATGATTGAGGTGAACCAAAAATTAATCTAAGAGGGCCGAGGACCCCAATGGCCCCCTTCTGGCTACTCCATTGCATTTTGTAGTAAATAAAATGGCTCCCTAAACTCAACAGAACCACCACGCTGTGCTGCTTCAGTCAACACAAACAATAAAAACCTACAAAATGTCTATTCTCCACAGAGGAACTCCAACACACTGGAATATCCTGCAGTAAAAACATTTAGGTTCACTTCACTGTCTGTATA